CATGGTCCCGCAGGGACCCTGCAGGTCCCTGAGGAGGGGGGGACCGAGGCAGCCCGGGGGCGACAGGCCCAAAATTCAGTGGTTGCATCTTCAAATAGAAAAAATTACATCAGTGCCCAGGGCTGGGCAGGGCAGCGGTTGCGCAGAGGAAGGTACCGACCAAGGGGCTTCAGGTCGGGGCAGGGGGACGCTGAGGCATCCCTGAGGCCAGGGGACCTGGGGCGAGGACCACACCCCGCTCCTCGCCGGGTCCCGTGCCCCAGGGCGGCCGCTTCCCGGAGCCGGGGGGGGCCACGTCCTGGCCCTCTCCCTCCGCCGGCAGCCAGGCGTCAGGTCCCCGAGTTCGGCTTGATGATGTGCATCAGGGCGCTCTTGAGGCTGCCCTTGCTGGGGGAGCGGACGGCAGGCGGGGGGGGGGGGGGCCCTCAGCGGCCTCCCCCCGCAGCTCCATCTCGATGGTCATGATGACTTTGGGGGGCCGGGTGGCCCCGGCGCCCGCCCCCGCAGTACCTTCCCTGCCCGCTAACCGCTATTTCTTATCCTTGCGGGAGTCTCCCGGGGCTCCCTTGGCTTTCTTCTCGCTTGCTGCCTTGGTGCCACGGCTGTGGTCCAGCATGGCGTAGAGCACGGGCGCCTGCGGGGACGGGGCAGCATCAGCGCCACGGTACCCCCCTGCCCTGGAGGCTTCACCCCGCAGCCTCTCCTCCCACCCCAAAAGGTAGGAGAGGTGTTCGCCCCCCCCGGCTAGGCCATTTTGCCCCTTCCAACCCCTCAGCGCTCACCTGCCGGCTGCGCTTGGACGCGTCCTTGGCCGATCGCTGCAGCTTTCCCTTCTCCATGGCACTAAAATTGGGGTGGAAAGGCAAAAAGGCGTCTCAGAAAGGCCAAACACCCCCCCCGGTCCCACCCAGAAGCCCCGTTTCGGGGTGGTTTTGCCCCAATTGGGCAGTGGGGCTCACCTCAGCCGTCGCTGCAGGGCTGCCTGCCGCCGCAGCCAGCAGTAGCGGATGAGATAAACGAGGGCCACCACCACGGCCACCAGCAGCAGAGCCCCGCCAATGATGGAGCCCAGCACGACGCCGTAGCGGGTGGGCACTGTGGGGACACCGGCGTCCCGTCAGCCCCCCCTGGCTGGAGCAGGGAAACTGAGGCGGGGAGGGGTGTACGCCGGCGCCGTACCTTTCTCGAAGACGTAGAGCGTGACCTGGGAGGACTTGCCCACAATGTCAGGGGGGTTCTTGACGTCGCAGGTGAAGGTGCCATTGTCGGTGTAGTCCAGGTTGTGGATGACGATGGAGCCATCCTTGCGGCGAGGGTTGCCCACCCACTCCATCCGCTCCTTGAAGCTGCCCACGTCATCGATGTAGGGCTGGCCCTTGGCATAGTGGAATATCTAGCAACGGGGACAGACACACAGACATCGGGGTCACGGTGCCTCCAGGCACGGCAGGGCCACCCTGCACCCTGAAGCAGAGCAGGCGCTTACGGAGGTGCTGTCGCGGGATCCCTCAGCTTGGAAGTGCCACGTGATGGAGATGTCCTCGGAGATCCACTCGCTGGACCAGAAGCTGCAGGAGAGGGTGACGTGGGAGCCGACGGTACCGTACACCTCCCGCTGCGTGTACACGTGGATGGAGGATGTCGGGGACGGCCCTGCCAGGGGGCACAAACCCGTCAGCCCCGTGGGGGACCCCGGCACAGGGATGGTGCCCATCACCAGGGCCGCCGGCTGGTCTGTCCCCCCACGCTGGCCCCGTGCTCAGCCCCGTGCTGCCACCAAAGGACTTTTGTTGGCCCTGGAGAAAGCACAAGGACTGGCGGGGGACAGCGGCTCTTTGTGCCACCGCGAGTGCCTTTGCAGGGAGCCTCCGCCCTGGCATCCCCACTGCCAGCTCAAAGGGGACCATATCCCGGCGCCGGCTGACACCTGGGGATGCTGGCAGGGCTGGGTCTGGCTCCCAGCACCCCTCTCCCATCCCCAGGGAGGTGGCTGGTGCCGGGATTCTCCTTGCAGCCCAGTGATGGGGACCGGGGCACGGCCACAGATACGGCCCTGGAGCATTGCCACCACCAGTGACAGTCCCAAAAGCAGATGTGTGGGTGGCCGCCAGCCCCACAACCACCTCCCGGGGGTCTGGAGTCCCCTGGTACCTCCCAGCATCCAGGATCAGGATTTCAGGACCAGCAGCCCTGGTCCCCCATCCCTGTCCCCAGCTTACCCAGCACCAAGAGGAGCCCGGCGAGGAGGAGGAGGCTGCTGCTGCCCCTGGCACCCTGCGACATGGTGGCTGCCTGTCACCGGCCG